ATGGCACATAACAACAACAAACTAGTAAGCATATTCAGGGTTGTATATGTTATCTGAAATGTGTCATTTGATATCCCATCAATTCCTAAAGTCTTATTTTTTTGCCAATGTCTTCAGTGCAGCCTGAACTTTTTTCTTCATCACCACTGGCTCTTTGTCATATGCTACTTCCTGAAATGTTTCTGTGTCAACCAATTCTTTTTGGTACAGTGACTCTGTTACTTCCCTCCATTTTCATTTGATGCTTCCTGGATCATTCAAGATATTATCCACAGCATCTCTTAGTATTGCAACAAAAGGCCTGAATTTCTCAGTTCTTTCAGTCTGAGAAATGCTAAGGAAGTTCTTCCTTTTTTATTCTCTAACTCCAGCTCTGTGAATATTCCATTATAATCCTTTGCTTTGTCTTCTCAAGCTGACTTGTGGTAGGTATCTTCAATTCTTTTACTTCTCCATCTCTTCCCACTGTTTTGGCTTCTAAACACTCTAGTGTTCTTTTCAGTCTCTTCTGGTATCCATTTTGGTTTTTTCTTTTTCCTGTCTTTGTAATGGCCTAGTTCTCTCTTCATAGATGATATCCTTGATGCCACCCCACTCATCTGATCTTTGATCATTAGTATTTAATGCCTCAAATCTATTTTTGAGATGCTTTTTAAATTCGGATGGGACAGACTCAAGGACTTATTTTGTTTCTTGTGGAAAAAACCTAAGTAATTGCTGGACAGTCAGTTGCAACTCTCCAGCTTAACCCTCCACTGGCTTTCTGAGGCTATAAATTTTACCAGAAGACTGTCTATCTTTCTTCTGCAGAACCATTAGTAGAGTCAAACTGCCAGAGATATGCAGCATTTAGGTTAACAGTACAACTCATGATGGAATATACCAGGAGAGCTTATAATGTAGAGGCCAGAACATGATATGCTCAGATTCCTGTATGGCATAAGTTTGAGAACAGTATCAAATGTTAATCCTGAGCTATAAGATTATGCAGTTTATGAAAATGAAAGCAATACTTCAGAATAGGAAAAGAAAAACCAGAAACATTGGAAGCAGCAGTTAAAAAAAAAAAAATCAAAAGACATACTGCATTGGGGAAATCTGCTGTCAAGGTCCCTCCAACACTCAACGGAGCAAAAATACTAAAGTCTAAGGTGTGCCTGATCCAAGCTTGGTATTTTCAATTGCTTCCAACACATGTGAAAGTTAGGCAAAGAATAAGGAAGACAGAAGAAAAATCGATGCCTTTGAATTGTGGTAGTGATGCAGAGTACTGAATATACATTAACTGTCAAAGGAACAACAACAAATCTGTCTTGACAGACTACAACTTGAGAGCCCCATAGAGTCAAGGATCGTTAAACTTCGTTTCACTTACTTTGGGCATGTTTTCAGGAAGTACTAGTCCTTAGAGACACATCATTCTGGGAAAAGTAGAGGGTCAGCACAAAAGAGAACACTCAACAAGATGAAGTGACACAGTTAACTACAACAATGGGCTTGAGTCTATCGGAGATCATGACATGGTGCAGGAAAGGGCATGGTTCAGCTATGTTGTTCATAGAGTTGTGATGAGGTATAGTGAACTTACAAGTATCTAACAGCAAAAGGAAAAAATGTAAGTTATTCTATCAGAGAGTTCATTTCCTAAATATTTTACTATTAAAAGCGGGGAGAAGCCCCATAGGGGAAGAAAATCAATACGAGTCATTAAGAGATTTTTTTTAATAAAAAAAATTGTATTTACTTAGAAGCATTCAGAATGTCAATAAAACAGCTGCAACTTTTTTTTTCTTTCTTTTTTTTGCAATTACAGAGTGGTATTCAGTTAACAGAATAATTATTTTGTATAAGCTGCATCAGACAACTGAAGATGAAATAAAACAAAATAAAATCTACCATCCCCATATATAACTAATTTGTGCTGTGCACCAACAAGAATCTGCTTTAAATTTCCATGCCAATTTACAACCCCCATACTGTACCAGGCAAGGTTAGTGGCTATTGAAAATACC